GCCAATCTATCTCTTTCATAGCACTACAAAGGAGCCTCCTAATTGCTTTGTTTAGACAGCCTCTTTTCCAAATATTAAACATTTGGCCTTCCCAGGCCCCCAAGCTCCTAAGAGCATCCAGCAAGCACTCTCCCACATGCTGTGGGTTGGCAGCCTCTCTGCTTCCCTGGGCAGATCTGGACATGTCATCCCGTGGTCTTCCCACAAGCCTGTGGCTCTCTGGATGCAACACTGGAGGTGGATGCTGACCTTGTCCTCAACCTCAGCTTGGAGAGTTTAGAGGGAGCTCTGGGACTCAGGGTAACTGCCATTTCTTCGTCCTGAGTGACAGTAGGCACAGCTCTGGCTGGGTCATCACACTAGGCTCTCTTCTTCCTTCAGACATACCTAATCCTGGAGCGGGTCCCTATTGAGGGGGAGAGTTCAGTTCTGGTGTTCCCATCGATGGCTATGATACCCTGTGCTGAGGCCTCTGTCCTGGCCCCATGGCCCTTTCCAGCCTTATATCCCTACATCACTTGTGCTATGCTCCTGTCTCCTGCCCTGCTGTCTCCCATGTAGAGGCTTGTTCCTCAGAGACTCTGGAGCTTGAGCTGCTCGACGTAGGTATGCTTCCTCACAGGCTTATTCATCTGACTAAGCAGAAAGCAGCGTCTCATTCCTCCCAGGACAGTCAGGAATGATTACAAAGCCCCTTCCTGTTTAAGCACTTCCCTCTACACTCACGTATTTTCTGAAGTAGTGCATAATGACTCCCACCCAGCTTAACAGAGGACAACAGCCAGTACAGTTCCATTTGTATTCCCCTTCTGGCTCCCCAACACACCATATGAGTTTCACATGTCCTACCATGAGGTCGTCACACTTTTCAATACATACTTGTACAAGACAAGAAAGACTTGTAGAGAAACAGCCCCACAGTCACATCTGATGGTTTCTGAATGCATCAACTATCCGGTGGTCAGGGTCCAAATTGCCCCAGGAGTTGGCCTATAACTGGTTGTTTGGATAAGATTGTCCTACAGAGGCTTAAAAGAGCTGGATGGATGATCTGTTTTAGTGGAGGTGTGAGTCGTGGTTGTCATGAGGCAGGGCACTGTAATGTGACTTCCCATCTATGTCAAGGTCTTCCAAGTGGCCTTAACACTAGCTCCACATCCATTAGCCACTGCTTTCTAACTGCTTCCTGAACAGAATGTTACCCAGGACTCAGGTTGGCAGTTCTTCCTGGCGCCTACTCTGACCCTGGTTTGGCAGCCAAATCCTCTGTCTTCCCAGGTCACACTGCTTATAGTCATTACAGTTTGTCTATGTTCATCATGTGACTGGATTTCAGAAATACTGGGTCAAAACATACCTAACACGTTTTTTTGTATGTGTGTTGGTGAATTAATCGCCTGTAATTCATTTTCTGACAAGTTGTTCCCTTGGTTTGCTTTCCTTAGTAGGGAGGACTGGAAGCTCCTATGCTCCAAGAACCTACTATATGCCGTGCACCTCCTCAATAATTCTAACACCTACCAAGAAGCTCGTGTGAAGAGAAAAGCGAAGCTTAGCGGCGGGTGGCTCATGGATATTTCTTGCATTTGCTAAGTCACAGCTCCTTCCTACACCAATTGTCCTGCCCCTATCAGCAGAGAACTAGTGGGGCCATGGACCAAAAGTTCTAGAAAATGTCAGGAATTCAAAGAAACTCCTGCTTCCTGGATGCAGGAAATGGTTTCTTTCAGTGTTTTTAGGCAAGTTTCAGGACAATGTCCTCTTCCTGCCCAACGTTTCCACTTGAAGCAAGTGCAGCTGAATTCTCCACAGACATACACAGCCTAGAGTAGGAACTTCAAAGCTTGGGGCTTGATTGGGCCTTCTCTGTGCATCAGCGGGCCAGGAGGGAAGCAAACAAGAGAAACACGCATGTCCACATGACCTGCACAGGTTTGGACCCAGCAGGATGTGTGTACAGTGCGAGTACGTGTTTACCTGGGTCTGCCTCCCACTTCCTACTCCTCCCTCTTCACCTTAGGCAGAAGGTCAGCAGTCCTTAGGGGAAGAATAGTTCCTTTGTGTTTTTTCCTTTCTTCCTGTGCCTAATTAAGAATTATGCTTGGGAATCAAGCTAATTAATCTCTGCCGTTCGGGGAGGATCAAGCTACTCCTGCTATCAGTGTTGATCAATAACTTCTTGCTCAGAGTCTGAAAGCACACACGCTCCTTTCAGGCCTTAATGAAGACAAGGCACAATGGCCTGGAGGCTTGGATGGAGGCCAAGGGGCAGGGCATCTAGCCTGACAAGAGAGGAGTTGGGAGAACTGGGCTGGAGGTGGGGAACCTGCTTTTCATGGCTACTCTACTGTGAGGTAGGTACCACAAGGCAGCGCTATCAAATGTCCAAGGTCCTGGAGATCAGGGGTAGGGGGATGGCAGTGCAACTTCATGACTGGGCTGCTAGAGGCACCATCCATGAGGGTGACCACTAAGAGTACTAGGAAAATGAGTACAAAACATCATGATAGCAGGCTAGAACCAAGTGCTCCTTCCTGTAGGCTGAGAAGAAGCCCTGCCACCAGCCTTCTCTAGGGCTGTCACATTAGCCCAACAATGGCCGTGGCTGCATACGGCCAGGAACACACAAAACCGTTCCGAGTACAAGAGAGAGCGTGGCTACAGCTTCCAGAGATTCTTGCTGTCACTTGGGGTATCTTCAGGCGAAATCTCCAGAGACTCAAAGGTGGTTTTTGTCTCTGGAGGGGAAAACACACCATCTGTTTCCCAACTCCGGGGAAGTTAGAAATCTAAGAACAGCGGTAACTGAAATGTGCACACTGCAGACTGGTTTAAGACCTTTGGGAACCAAATCCGGCATCAGCATAAAAAGGTTTAAACGTTTTAACTGACAAGTTAAATTGTAATTACTGCATATACCATAATGCTTTGAAATATTTATATTATAGAATGACTCAATTGAGGTAATTAGCATATTACTTCATGCTTTTTTTAATAGTGAGAATACCTAGAAATCTGTAAGCTGTACCACAGAGATATTATGCTTATCATTGTCCTATTTACAACAGCTAGAACTGCATTAGATGTCCACCAACAGATGAATGAGGTGGTGGCACACACCTTTAATCCCAGCACTTGGGAGGCAGAGGCAGGAGGATCTCTGTGAGTTTGAGGCCAGCCTGGTCTACACGGTGAGTTCCAGGCTAGCCAAGGCTGTCGTTTAAGGTCTCAAAATGACAATAAAACGAAGGAATAAGTCTCAGGCTAGAAATGGCTCAGTGGTTAAGAGCACTTCCTGGTCTTCAAAGAACCCAAAGTTGATTTCCAGCTCAAATGCTTTTTTGTTTTCCGAGACAGGGATTCTTTGTGTTGCTCTGGCTGTCTTGAAACTTGCTCTGTAGACCAGGCTGGCCACGAACTCAAAGAGATCCACCTGCCTCTGCCTCCCGAGTGCTAGGATTAAAGGCGTGTGCCACCACTGCTCAACAAGTGTTGGGGTTTACAACTCCAGTGGATCCATAACCTCTGTTCTCTAAGGACACCTGCACCCAAGTGCACATTCCCACACATACAAACACCCAAATAAAAACTGCCAATCTTCCTTAGTCTCGCACAACTACCATGCCTGGCTGGTTATTATTAAGTTTCTCATTTTGTGTCTGGGTGTTTTGTCTGCCTGTGTCATCGATGCGCCATGGGGCATGTATTTTGTAGCCGCTGTGAGGTCTGTGTCTTTGATAACTGTTAGTAGACAGAAAAGTGGATGCCTTTTATAAGTTCATTTGTGATTTGTAGCTTGAGACAGGGTCTCATGCAAGCTAGGGTGTCCGTCAAACTCAGTGTAAACTGAAGATGACCTTAAACTTTTGATCTTCCTGCTTCTTCCTCCTGAGGCACGCAGCACCACACCCACTTCACGCAACTTGGGACCGAGCCCTTATGAATACATTCTAGACTAGAGTCGTCTTTCCTATGACTATGCTCAAGAACCCAGCAAGATCGTAGGGAAACACCCAAATGAGGAAACAGGCTTTGCACAGGTTGGCCCCAAAGACATGCACTGTCCACTCTCCACTGTGAAGGACTCCAGAACACCAAGCACAGCACCCACAGGGGGTTGTACCTAGATTTACTCACCAGAGTCCTGGGAAGTTCGGGCCTCATTCTTCTACATGTGTAAGTCCACTGGCTGTCGAGAGCCAGAAGGAAAATCATTGCAGCAGACTAAGGTCCACTTCCTTCTCAATGACTTCAAAAGGCTTCGATTTTGTTCTGCTAAGTTGTATAGGAGCTGTTGGCAGTCACAGTAGTTTAACTTCAAGGCCTCCATTTAAGGTTCTCATTTTGGGAAGTTGCTGTTAACACCTTGCTGCAGAGTTCAGAGGCCTGAGACTTGAACACTCAGGTGTGCAACTGGCACAGCTCTCTGCTGTTAACCACTGCAGGGTTGTGCATGTCCTTCCAGGAGTCAAGTGACCCTCCTCCTTGCTCACTCTGTTCAGATGGCAGGTCTGAATCAAGGCTCAAAGGCCATCCCTGCCTATTCACTCCTTCCAATAAGACCATTTATACTCTGAACTTGCCCCTTGGCATCTGCTTCCTGGAACCAAGACTGACAGCACTCCCCCCCCCCCCCCACAACGGGCACTGGGCAAAGCCTTCAGGCTCATTCTACTGGTATGTGATGATAAATCTTCAGTCAGTGTAGTGGTCACATCTTTAACCCTAGCACCTCAGAGGCAGAGGCAAGCAGATCTCTGAGTTTGAGGCCAGCCTAGTCTACAAAGTTAGTTCTAGGACTTCTAGGACTACACAGAAAAACCTTATTTTGAAAACCCACAAATCCTCAATACACCAACAATGGAAACCAGAAGCAGTGCCACCTTTCACTGGAGGACTGCAGAAGATGTAGGCTCCCACAGACACAGCCTGCTATCTCCTGGGGTTACAAGTCACTCCCCACAGTGGCTGAAGAGGAACCATCCAGGAACTGGTTAAAATACTATTTATTTTAAAAATATTCATAATTTATTGAGTCCTTACTATGTGATAGGAATCACGATAGAGCTTTCCATACATTGTTTCATTCAATACTTACACAATTCTTGTACAGATTCTCCACTTTCCAGATAAGGAAAAGGAGTTAATTAGACGTTGAGCTTGGATTTAAATCAACTGACTGATGCCAAAACTAATACTCTTTAGCTAAACACACACACACACACACACACACACACACACACACACACGGCTCAAGTACACCCACCCCTTATGTGATGTCTATTTAAAATAATTGAGTTTGTAAGGAAAAAAAAGCATTCATCAACTAGAGGGAAATTAGTGGAAATAAATAAAAAAAATGAAACCATTGAGTTGAATCCCTTAGAAGTTATACAGAGAGAAAAAAATTGAAGACAGGGCTTTTGTAGGAAATGTTTTAAGTCTTGACCGGCTCTAAGTGCTCCTAGACACATGATTTTTCTGGGCGCGATCTTATAAACCTGTCAATGAGGCAAGGTGACTAGCTCTCCAAATCTGTTTCACTTCTAACACCAGATATTTTCTTCCTGTATGAAGGTTTTTTTTAGTTTGTCATTTTGTATAAAACTAAAAGGTTTATATTTATCAAACCACATAAGAAGTAAAATGATCTGCTGTGCCTCACATGAATATCAAATCTCAAAATCCACCTGGTTTCTTCATGCAAAAGACCTCCAGATGGTCCTTATCTCAGGCTTCTCATGAAGTTCTCATAGAAGTTCAATGCATGCATACATGTATACATGTGTGTATGAATGTAGTGTTAAAAATGGATGAATAAGCTTTTAATTACATTGCCATCCCCCTACTATGGCAGGTTTGATTGCTTATTTATTTTTGGTTGTAGGTGAGAGAAGAGAGCCAGAAAAGATTATGAGGGTGTTTTAAGGGCTGTTAATAAAACCCTCATCTGAAGTCCTTTCCCATCATCTTCATTCTTCTCTACATCTGCAAGAGGAGATTTTCTCTACTACAGACTTCTGTTTGTCCCACCTTCAGGTAAAGGCTTAAGAGGCCAGCATCAGAAGAGAGGGCAAGAGAACTGTGCAGGTTGGGATGTGTCATCTTAGCTTTCCCAGGCCCATCTGTCCTGCAGGGTCACCCGTGAAGCACAGTTAGTGCAGACAGGAAAAGCAGTTTGAGACTTTCTAGGAGGAAGGAGGTAGAGAAAAGAAGACAAAATACATTATTCTGTGGGAAACATAAGTGTAAAAAACTCACTAGTTTACTATGTTAAAAAAAGGATGGCACATTTATTGCTACATAAATGTTATATACATACTGCGTTTTCTGTTACAGTGACAGAAAAAAAAATTTGAACTTCTTGCTGCTGGTTGAAAAGGTTTATCAATAATACCTTGAATTTGACACAGGATACAAATCTGCAATAAATCGACAATGGAAACTGGAGAACAAGATGAAAAGCAGCTCATCTCCCAACAATTCGCTCTCACAATACTCCATAGGAACTACACGGTATGCTAGAACCTACTATGCTCTTAAAATGCTATTGTAAATTTCTGATATTAATGAACAGGTTATGGTAAATAACCCTACATTTTCTTTAACTACCTAATATAATAAAATAAAGTAAGAAACTTTTTACTGAAAATTTTTGATTTCAAAAATCTAGAAAGAGTAATATTTAGAATTCAAGAAATTTTCTTACAAGATTATTGTATAAAAGACTAGCTACAGTGAAAAATAAGCCAAATGTTTTTTTTTCTTTCTATTTTATGAAGGAAAGCTTCTGGGCATACTGCAAAGTCTAATATAGCGAAAAAGACAACAAGCTCTGAAGAAAAAGGCCAGGCAGTGGCTTATGTTCACTCACACATCATAAGCAACAACTTCTGTTTGAGCCGATTAACACTGAAATGAAGAACAAGGCCACAGGTAGTCTGATATAACTGGAGAACATATGCAACCTAAGTCCACTAAATTCACCAAAGACTGACTTGTTAGAAATAGTCCTGATGGAGATCTGAAGTGCTGTCTTAATAACTTTTGTTCTTTCAAATTCTCCGTTGTTTTAAGTTACAGAATGACTTGGGATTTTTCTTCTGTGTGCAGACTGCCACTGATACTGGCTCTAAAGGAGTTACTTAGCCAAGACCATCATGTTCAGCATGTTTTTCTCTCCCAGCGCTGCTGTGGTGGAAGACAGATTTCATGGAAGTTCAAAGTGATTACCGTGTCTTAAATACAAGTATGAAGGATTAGAGATAGAGGGGCTTTAATGAGTAATGCTAAGATGGAATGACAAGTACAGCTCAGCGCTAATCTAGCTCTTCCTAGGGCAAAGGCAGGTGGTTTGTAGGTGATTAAATCACACCCTGCCCCAACCGCACTGATCAGTCAACCAAAGGACAGAGAAGTAAAGGCCAGGGTAAGGAAATGTGACCATTGCTCTTGGATTCCATAGGTAATTAGCCTGGAGTGGTTGTGTGCGTTCAGACTGCCTGTCCCGGGGACTCCCGGGTTCTGTTACGCTCATCATGATCATGGCCTGAAAAGTCATCTTTGTACTGTATTGAATGCATTTTGTGCTTACTTACAGCTAACACTTTACAAGTACCATATTATGTAGTACTTACTGCTTGGAAAACAAAGCAATTTCTAAAAAGTAGACTCTCCCTTGTAAGTTACATTTCTTGCTATTATAGCTTTACTATGAAACCTAGAAGCCTGAAAAGTCTTAGTGATTATTAGAAATAAAGCAATGTTTATTTGGGGGCAAATCCAGGGGACAAAATTTCCCCTTTCAAAATCTTAGCTAGGCTATGGTCACAGATGGTGTCTGCTTATCACTGCAAGGACATGAACAAAGCACACAGGGCTGGAGGAGGGTTCTGGACTGTGACCATAAACTATGCGGACTCAGATCAAATATAACACCCACAAAGAGAAAATAAAAATGAGTGAAAAAAGAAGAGAGAATGCTATACCAAGTAATATTTTCCTATTTCATGGAAAACACTATTCATATGGCGAAGGTCGGAGAGGGCAACAAAGGACTCCCTTCCTTTTTAAGACACTAACAGGTATGCCGGGAATGCTAAGGGCCAATGGTTGCCACTGCTTTGTGAACAGCTTTAACAATGCTGGCATCAGCTGAGTGTACATCAGCTTCCCACATGAACTTTTTCCCTTTATATGTAGACCTCACAGTTCCATAACAATAAATAAAATTTGTAGTTACAATGCATTTGTCAATTCAGTTTAGGCACAAGGCAACTTCCACGTTGAGTGGAGAGATGAGACAGTCTCTGATTGTGCAGAAGCGACACATTGCTTACAGCAGAATGATACACTGCAAACACCTCATGGGCCGGCCTTCTCTGATGAGCTTCCTATCCTCACTTCTGATGGAAGTGTTGACCAGCTACTTTGATCATAGGATTAAATTTGAGTTTCTTGCTTCAAGTGTTTTGTTTTTCTTCTCCTGTCAGGTTTGTGTCTTCAGATAATCTGAGTTGTCCAAGTCTTTATGAGGAGAGGTCACCTTCTCTCTAGCCTACTGATGACGCTGGAACTGTGGCAGAAAGAGGGCAGTTAGTATACAATTATCAAAAATAATACCACTCCCCCAAATCCAATAGTTGTTCATTATACCTAGGTTTGCACTAAAGTGGCCCAAGTGACTTATACAAGAGTCTCTTTCTTTTAAGGTATCAGAAGTTCTTCCTCATCTGAGGGAGCTATGACCCAATACCCTCATTGGGCGCCTGAAACTCTGTAAAGAACTAAATCTTACTTGCACTACGATTTTTTTCCTATACATAAATGCTTAGGATAAAGTTTACAAGTTAGGCAAAGAAAAATATGGGCAAATAAACAATAAAATAGAAGACTTTTAACAATATATTATAATTTAAGTTTATGCTTTGGGGCCATTAGTAAGTATGATAGGGACATAGGGACTGCTTCAACAAGTACTTATGGTAGTGGGTATGATAACCAAAATGGCTACTTAGTGAGCAGCATGTAAGCAGTGCACATGGAGTAGATACATTAGACAGAGCAAAAGGACTGAATGCAATTTTATTATATATAGCATATCAAAACCACCCATGTTTTTTGGAGACAGGGTCTTACTATGTATCCTTGCTGGCTTGGAATTTGCTATGAAAATCAGGCAAGCTTAGAACTTATAGAAATCCACCTGTCTCTGCCTTGAAGTATTGGGGTTAAAAAGACGTGCCACCACACCCAGCCTTCATTACAAACTGTTTATGGACTACTGTTGTGTAGTAAGAATTCTAATTGATCTTAATAATAAAAACCCGGAGTCAGGTATCAGGGTAAATGCTGAAAAATCAAAGAAAGAGCCAGCCACCAGAGAGACTTCTTACCTCTACTAAATTCTCAGACTGAATGGGACTGAGCCCACCTCCTCCAGCCTTATATTCCTCTCTTCACCCAGCCATATCACTTCCTGTCTCCACCTTCCCTAATTCTGGGATTAAAGGCATGTGGTCCCAAATTCTGGGATCAAAGATGTGAGCTTTTACTCTTTTAGACTGGTTGAATCTCAATTAACCCAGTGTGGCCTTGAACTCCTGATTTTCCTGTTCCACCTCCCAAGTGCTAACCAAGTGTTAAGATTAAAAGGTGTGTGCTGCCACTGCCTGGCCTCTATGGCTAACTAGTGGCAAGCTCTGCCCTCTGATCTTCAGGCAAGCTTTATTTGTTAGAGCACAAAGAATCACACTGGCTATAAGTAACTGGAATCATGGAAAGTGAAGCTAACTTGTGACTATAAGAGTTTTACCTGATATGTATGTAAAGGAGAGCTTATGATTAAGAATTTATATAACAGTTTAGCGAGACAATTATGCTAACCTCCATGTTGGGAACAGGTAAGTTGGCAATAACTGACCTCAGATTCTACCCATTGACTGCTCAACACTGTAACCACAACACTCCCTCACTGCTGCCCCCAGTCCACCATATTGGGTTGTTTATATTCATTTATTCTAAACAGAAAGTTCTGAAGCCCCAGTTGCTGGTCCAAGGTAGGTCCTCACTAAATATTTGTCTAAGGAATTTAAGAAATTATCTTATTAGTTCAAATTTTATACATGCATGTTTCCAATATAATGCATGTTATTAGTAACCCTGAAAAATTCCATTAAAATTACTTATAATAGAACAGTTTAGGAAGAATCAAAGACAATACTGTTTGTTAACAGTGATACTCCCGGGATCGAAAACTATTAAAAGCTACTTGGTTTTACAATGGTGGCAAATTGTTGGAAACTTTTTATAAGTTTCCTGAATTGTTACTATTACTATTAATAAGCACTGAAGCACTTTTGCCACTGTGAGTTTATGGTGGTCTAAGGCCAACTATGTGGATTCTGGGGATTGAACAGGCTTACATGATCACTGGGCCCCTCAGGGGCCCCTCAGTGAGAGTATTTCCACATTATAGAGAAAGATAAGGCTAGAGATTCCAAAGCAGCAGAAAGCAAAACAGGGGAAAAAAATCAAGAATAAACTGAGGGGAGAACAACAATAGCAGACAGGAAACAAGACAGGCTCTGAGTCTAGTAAACCAATATGTATTTATGAAACAGACCAGTTACTTTCCTACAACATTTTGTCTTCCACGGAATGCAAGGCTTGCCTTTTAGAAAGTGTGTAAATCAGCAAGCTCTTGCCTGAGGACTCTGTGACATGAAAACCTAGTCATGATGGAGATATTTGTGGGGAAGTGTTTATCGAGTTCCCTTCAGGGTGCTAATGTTACAATGATAACTATCAGCATACTGACCTTTCTTCCTTTTTTTCCCCATATGCATTTTTAACTGCAATCTAATTTGATTTTGGTAGTGTTGGCATAAACCAAATCCTACACTGAAAGAGCAGTTTACTTACTCACTATTCTATCAAATTCCAGATTTTTATCTCGAGATAGTCACAAAGCAAACCAAAAGAAACTACATTTGATATTCCTGTTTCCATCCATTTGTCCCTACTATTTTATATCTGCCAAAAAATTTTAGAAAATTACTATATACAGCCGGGCGGTGGTGGCACACGCCTTTAATCCCAGCACTCGGGAGGCAGAGGCAGGCGGATCTCTGTGAGTTCGAGACCAGCCTGGTCTACAAGAGCTAGTTCCAGGACAGGCTCCAAAACCACAGAGAAATCCTGTCTCGAAAAACCAAAAAAAAAAAAAAAAAAAAAAAATTACTATATACAACACCGAAGGCAGGTTAGGAAAATGGAGTTATGGCTGTGAGTGGTAACACATACCCTCAATTTAGAACTTGGGAGGTTGGGAGGTAGAGGCAAGCAGATCTTTGTGAGTTCAAGGGCAAACTGGTCTACATAGTGAGTTCTAAGCCAGTGAGGGTTACATAGTAAGGCCCTGTCTCAAAAAAACCAAAAGCTAAAACCAAAAATCCCCAATGAAGTTATCAGTTCTATTCTTAATCCATGCTGCTAGCTAAAATGCTACTGTTAAAAATAATTATAGTTCACACAGCTTCCAAAATATTAACTTTGAAGTCTTCAGTAAATAATACTCCACCAGAAAGAGGGCTACTTTGGGCGTATCACCTAACGTATTTACATTTTACACTGTGTCAGGAATCCATGTGCAAGTGTGCAGTAGTGACCTTGTAGAGAGGAGCCACGTGCAGATGGTTAGTGTGCAGTAGTGACCTTGTAGAGAGGAGCCACGTGCAGATGGTTAGTGTGCAGTAGTGACCTTGTAGAGAGGAGCCACATGCAGATGGTTAGTGTGCAGTAGTGACCTTGTAGAGAGGAGTCACGTGCAGATGGTTAGTGTGCAGTAGTGACCTTGTAGAGAGGAGCCACATGCAGACGGTTAGCGGAGACTACTCCATGGTATGGCCCATTCTTGTGAACAGAAGAATGTGGAGCAAGGAAAGAAGCAGAGAAGTTTGAGAAAGGAGTCACTATGACATTGTCTTCTTGGAGAATGAGCAAATGTGCTGACTAAGAAGACCTGGCATCTCTTTATGAGCTGCAAGCTATTCAAATGATCTGAATAGTAATTTGGTCTAAAATGATACTGGTTTTGATGAGACAACAGAAAAGCAAACAGATCACAGTATTCCGAATTCTAAGTGACCTTTACAATCACCAGTGCCTGCCAGAAAGTAGCTCCATAGTTCTAACCACTTTAAAATAAAGCGGTGTCTTTGTACTTCCTTCCCAGACCCATACGTACCTGGCTGATGTTTACAGATGACCCATAGGGTTGGTAGTTTCACTAAGCCCAGGATGGGTTCCTGGCAGTGTGGTTGGTGGCTCTGCTGCCGCAGCAGAGACCTTTTCTTCTTCTCTTCTCTTAAGGCAGGCTGCTTTGGGGTTGAGGTTCCTCTCTATAGCAGGAGAGAATTGTTATCAGTATGTAAGAGGGCAGAACAAGGAGCTGAGGACAGGGGTTGGGCAAGTGACACTGAGATTGGATCTCCAGGCCTGACTGGTCTGGTCTCTGTTACCCAGGATAGCCTTTAACTTGTGGTTATCTTCCTGCCAAGGATAAAGTCTGCTGAGTTTTAAGTTGAACAAACTGCTATTGTTCTTTCTGTGAGGATGATCAATCTCTGTAATTTCATTTTTATATATTAAATTTTCTAATTTACAGAGGCAACCATGATATGCTTGAACTAAACCTTCAGTATTAAACGAGACACAAGAATTCTTAGTGATCACTTTGTATTTTCTTTATTTTTGATTATTATTTGGTCTTCTAGGGTTTAGTTTGTTTGAAATCCACATGTTAATATTTAAACAAATCTTGGTAAATGCTTTTATTTGTCAGTCAAGTTCTCTTTATGGATCCTGCTATGATAGGATACAGTGAATTAATATGTAGGCCGGGTACACTCTTAATGGAAAGACATCTGTGCTGCACTTCACATTTACCCGTTCAGAAAACTATGCATTTGTAGGAAACACATGAAAACAAGGGAAGCAGACGACCATGGCATTCTTTCCTTCCCTACCCTAATATACACATAGAATAAGATGACAGAGTTCTTTCTGTGGCTGTGGTATAGCAAGGAAGATGCTAAAACTTTTTAAGAAGACAGCCAAGATGACAAGATACGATGTGTGATGCAGGTGTCTCTGAGAAGTAAAAAGAATAGGGGCTACCATGAGAAATGAAAAAGTGGGGTCTCAGAGATAGTTCAGCAGTTAAAAGCACTGTTTGGCCTTCTTGAGGCCCTGAGTTCAAACCTCAGGACCCACATGGTGGTGCAAAACTGTCTATAACTGTAGACTCATGTGGTCTGATGCCCTCTTTTGGTGTGCAGATGTAAATGAATATACACATACATAAAATGCATAAATATATCTTTTAAAAAATGGAAAGGTAAGCATAGGTATCTTGCTTATGACAGTTTATTTAATTTTTGTTTCTGTTATAAGCATATGTTATACGAGGCTAAGTGCCATGCACATCAGTTTATAAACTGATTCAAAATACCTTAATGGATACAAAAAGATCATTTCAAACTAAACTGTAATGAGCATATTATTCACAGAAATGGCATTTTGGGGGGGGGGGGGGAGACAGAGTCTCACCATGTAGCCCAAAACCAAACCAACCAACCAAACCCTAAATATGTCTGCTTTAGGAGACTACTGTAACATGAATAATAAAAACCCAGAGAGAGAAATTGGGGTTCAACCCGAAAACCAGAAAAAGCAGCCAAGTCACTATAAGAAGTCTTACCTCTACCAAGGTTGGGTGACCACAAACTAAACAGACTAAGCCTCTCTCTCCTCCCATTTTATATTCCCTCTAGTGCTGGGATTAAAGGTGTGCGACTCCCTAGGACTGGGATTAAAGGTGTGAGCCACCACCACCTGGATTTGTTTCTGCATTGATCTTGTGTAGCCCAAGATGGCCTTGAATTTACAGGGATCCATCTGACTCTGTCTCCCAAATCCACCATTACCTAACCTCTAATGGCTTTAAGACTTGCCTCTGGTCTTCAGGAAAATTTTATTTATCAAAATACAAATAATATACCACTACAGACTCAAGGTTGGGATTTGTCAGATGCAGTCTGGAGCACATTGCAAACCAAAAGGTGCCAGACTAGGCCTACTAAACCAAGTAAACAAAGCATGCCTTATGTAAACTGCTGGGCTCAGGACTACAAGTATACCAAGTCTTCCTAAATGAACATTATTACAAGTCTCAATTGCTGGAGCTACAGTTCAGGCAATGACAACTACACCAAGCTTAGAAGACACTGCCACGGACCAGGCAGCACTGGGAGCTGATGAGATACTGGACAGAGGCATCTGAATGCTTTTCAAGGAGTCTTGAAAAGGAGCTGTAGGATAAAGGCTCTGGACTTCAGGCTTACAGTATGAAAATAGAAGAAAAGGCCTTCCTGAGATTAAAGCAATCCCTAGGAGAGTTGCAGTTCCGTGTATCTGAAGCTCATTCATCTCTAATCAGTAAAGAATTCCATAGACAGCTCAGAAAATGTGAAAAAGTCAGAGCTACACTCAGAACAGTACAGTTATGAGGTAGTTGGACAAGCCTGGATGTTCTCTATGACTTGGTTTTTCTGTTCAGTCGCATGTTACAAATGAACAAGGTCCACCTGTGAAAGGCAGGGTTTCTAACTTTTTTGAAATAATAAAACATTTCTCATTTTAATGGCTTGGATTTGAGAATAGGTATCTCCACTCGAAAGTTTAAAAAAAAAAACTGTCTTTTTTTTTTTTTTTTAGCTCTAATACATGGTGGGAATGAAAAGGTGCTAAATAAGAATAAATTCTGGCAGCTTTGCTGATCACACAGACAGAGAAGACAGCTTTAACAGTAAATTGCTGGTGAAATCAAGAGTTAAAGAAAGGGAGAATGCATCTGTGGTTTCCTCAGACACTGTTGATTTCAGAGTGGGGCCAAGTGTTCATTCAGATACAGCTCAAGAAATAAGTGGGTGGTAATAACTGAACATGAGAATGGCTAAGGAAAGAACAATGTTCCTGTTACTATCACGCGAGCAACCGTCAATCTTGGTACATTACACAGGAGGCTGTAATTCTTCAAGATCTGGTTTCATGAACACTTATCCTCTACATACATTTCTAGGGTTTTGATCAAGATGAGCACATTCCTGGTTTTAGGAAAAGGGTGACTATACACTGTTCCTACACATACAACATACTGGAGGGACATAGAAATGAAGAATCTGCAGCGATGACCGGTTTTTATGAGGGTTTGTTCCAGTGATTCTCTGTGTAGTCATCTTTTGTGATGTTGATGGATCGTGGTTGTAGTTTTCAAGCACTTGCCTACCCTACTCTATTTAAACCCAATACAAACATCTAGATAACTCAACACAAGTAGGAAAGAGAGTTGCTCACAAGCAAAGAGACTTGTATAAGGCTTGGGGTCCAGAGTAACGTTTATTAATTCCTTGCAAAAAGGTTGTAAATAAAACATTAGCAACTGACAGACTACACAGGCGACTGCTGAAACACAAGCTAGACAGTGGAACCTTAAGGGCAGAAGTGTCTACTATTTGATAGCTGCCCAGCACAGAGAGGTGCTATGACAAATACAAACTAAACAAATGAAGCTTTCAAACCACACATATGTGACATAGGTGTGTCTTAGAAGTTTATGTCATTTCTAACAGAGATCAATAAAGCAGCTCTGAGATCTAACATGGGTATAAAGGACACCAGTGTGGTAAAGACAGAGAGGAGCCATGCTTAGTCACACTACCAACCAGCAGTATTTGTAGAAGCCCCAGGGTAAGCATGTGAGGAAATCCAGTGCTAATGAAGGAATACAGCATGGTGCAGAGAGGAGGGCAGGTTGAGACAAATTAAATTCAACAGTGAAACACAGACACTGAGTCCACAGGAGGAAACGGGCTCCGAGCTGAACAGCAGGCTGATGCTTTTTGTTCTCTGCCCCATTTCATAGGATTGAGCCCTACAGGTTTGTGGGAAGCTCCCAGCCTATGGATATTGAGTCTAAGAAGTAGAGGAGAGTTGGATCCTGACGGCACAGACAGCTTTCAGACAACTTGCCTAAGCAAAGCATAGTTAATGAATGTTTGCCTGTTTGTCTCTGCTGGACTGACTTACCTCTGACTTGCTGTTCTAGACTAAGGATGACTGCCACGGCTTGATGAAGAATGAGGAGTTTTGTCTGAGGTTTTTCACTCTTCAAATGAAGCTGACACATTCGGCCAAGCTCCTTGAATGCCTCATTAATATCCCGCACTCGCAGGCGCTCTCTGGCATTGTTAGCCATCCGCCTTTCCTTCTCCCTTTCGATTTTCTGTTCGGGATTCAGATCTTCATCTTCATTGGTACTGCTGGATAATAGTAGAAACAGTGTCTATGAGCTTCCTGAGAAATGCTGACTGTGCCAAATTATAAAGTATAAAGGTGAAAATGGAAATTTTAACTCCTACTAGACCAGAGCAACAGCTGTATTTAGCTATATGACTTTCCTCTCTTCACTGTACCTGAACAGTTAAAGTTGTATCATGATTTTAATACATTCTTCACCATACATTTCAGCATAAAGGCCTTTCCATGAAAGCAAATTATTCATAAACAAGAAACATAACTAAATTCTACCACCTTGTTATACAGATAGGACCCACACAGCAGCAGCCTCAGTGTTTCCAGGACCACCTCAACACAGACTTTCAAGCCTACACCCAATCTACAGACCCAGAAGCTGCATCTTAGGAGTTCCCACTGATTCAACTGCACTGAGTGCTGAGGGTCCTGTCTCTGAGCATTAGCACAACATGCCTGCTTAGAAGCACTCTGGCAATCACCTGGAACACAAGGGACAGAAGACAAGGTACAGATGGTCTCAAAACATAGTTCTGATGCTGATGATGTGATGACGAAAAAATTTGGAATTTTTTTTGGAAAGACAAATATATATATGGCTATTTGTTGCTACAAACAATTGAGTAGATGTGACAAGGACAACATGACCCACAAAGTGTAAGTGGATCTTTAAAGTAGAAAGTTTATTGATTCCTAATGGACATGGAGAGAAGAAAGGATATAAATTATCTCTTAAAATGTGTTCAGAATAATAAAACTATAAGTTAAGATGCCTAGAAGTGGTCTCAGAATTCTCCGACTGAATTTACTTTCTCATTTATATTCTTCACATGAGTAAGATGTATATTAAAACCACAGGATTGCAAAAATTCATTTTTTCTCAAGAGAAACATTTAGGCTTTGAAAGCAGTGAGAATGTCAAAGGCAAAGGAGCTCTTTGTTAGTTGTCTAAATGGAAGAGAGGGATGGTCATGGCTTTTTCAGTTCCACCACTGAAGTCTCCCTTGTAATATAATGTAACACACAAAAACATATTAAATATCAATACCCGCATATGATAGATATGTTGTTGACAAACAATTCATAAAATAAGATGCACTGAAAATACATTAAGTCATGCTGGATTTGGCTAATCATGTGTGTAATTCAGTAACTTGGAAGGTTGAAGCAGGAGGATCATGAGTTCAAGACCAACCTAAGCTACAATGTCTGAAAAACAAAACCACATATATGTGCATGCACATAAAAATCACTTAATTATTTTGAGATATTTTCTTTTCTTTTTTTAATAAAGATTTATTTATTTTACATGCATTGGTGTTTTGCCTGCATGATGTCTGTGTGAAGAAGGTGTTGGATCCCCTGGAACTGGAGTTAGGGAATTAAACCCAGGTCCTCTGGAAGAACAGTCACTGCTCTTAACCACTGAGCCATCTCTCCAGCCCCCAGTACCTAAATCACCTAATTTTAATATAAAACTTAAAAAAAAATCTGAAGGAAGACACAAGTCACTTGAAACTCATGTATTAATGTGTCCAAATTCACGTTTGAAAGCAAGTCAATTTTAACTGACTTAAAACTCTTCCTGAGACTATCACTCTATCTGGAACTTTTTTTTTTTTTTTTTACATTTTTCTCAAATTACTGCTGAAATCATGGAATAGCAAACCTTCTCTATGAGGAGACAAATGATAAATATTTCCTGTTTTGATAAATATTTCCTGTTTTGTGAGCCAAATGGTATCTGTGGCAACTACTCAAATCTGCCAATGTAAAGCAAACCCAGCCACAGATGACACAAAACCAAAGCATATGGTGGTTTCCAATAATACCACATAATAAGCAACAGGCTGGTGCTTGTATGAACCACATTTAGATTCTACCACATACTTAGTTCTGTAGTAGATCAAATACTTACTGGCTGACAAACAACAAATAGTTTAACCTGTTCTCTCACTGTATGTATGTATGTGTACACACACACACACACACACACACTATGAGCAACTGAGACAAGGGAGGCAGCTCCTTTCTATATCTATATGAAGACATAAAGGGGTGTGAAATCATGCCTTCAGCCAGACATTCACATACCTTCTCTTTAGAGATGTGAGGATGAAATAGGTAAATACAAATTAAAAAAAAAAAAATCATAGCCTGGCACCTGGAAAGTAGTTGGCTGTTACTAATGCATAGCATCCTTTGCTGTCCCAAAGTTTTTTTGTTCCTCTAGGGCAAATATGTGAGATTTAAGGGCTGGACACTAACATACCTTGTTCTGCCTCGAGATGAGACCTTGATGTCTTTTTGGGAAGACTCATCATCTGACTTCATGTCATCTGATGAAGGAGGCTCATGAAGGTTCTCATCTTTTTCTTTGTTTTCAGTCTTGATTTCTGTTGGAACAACATTTCCAGACTGATTTTGCAAGCCACCTAACACAATGGAAAGGAAACATAAAATATAAATCTAAATTCCCATGTTCCAATCAAGATGGTTCAAAGCTTTCAGGAGGGTAAATATACTTAGGGTTTGAGCTGTATGAAACATTCTAGAGGTAAAGGAATGTACATAATTTAGAGACAGGAACAACTTGTCAGAAACTAGTGGTCAAGAAGTCAGCAGTCCTAATCTAACCTAGATATTTGTATTTATTTATAAATCTATACTGAAGCTGGGTGGTGGTGGCACATGCCTTCAATCCCAGCACTCAGGAGGTAGAGGCAGTCGGATCTCTGTGAGTTCGAGGTCAGCCTGATCTACAAGAGCTAGTTCCAGGACAGGCACTTGGAGCCAGTGTTACAAGGACCATAGTTTAAAGTTAACTTGGTTCAGAGTCAAGATGGCTGGATAAACAGTAGACAGTGACACTTTGCATCCACAGGGTAACACTAGTATGGGAGAGTCTGATCCACAGACGATGGTTCAAATGGACAGAATACCAAGGGTTTCTACAGTACTGCTTGAAAAATGACAAAAGTTACCTCTGTAATTTTCTGGTGTTTTATGGTTCAGGTCTGTGTTTGAGGCAGCAACAGTACTAGACAGGACAGAATGATTGCCATTGAGACTCACGGAATCTTCCCGATGAGTTCCAACCTAAAGTGAAAAACAAAAACAAAACAACAAAAAGAAGTCACAAAGTGGCCATTTTTTATTTTTTTCTGATAGGTCAGCTAAAAGTCTGACCCCAAACTCCTTAATTCAAGTGATCAAGAAGACAGCAGTCCTAATCTAACCTAGATATTTGTATTTATTTATAAATCTATACTGAAGCTGGGTGGTGGTGGCACATGCCTTCAATCCCAGCAATCAGGAAGCAGAGGCAGTCGGATCTCTGTGAGTTCGAGGTCAGCCTGATCTACAAGAGCTAGTTCCAGGACAGGCACTTGGAGCCAGTATTACCAGGACCATAGTTTAAAGACTAAGACTCCTGTCTTAGTCTTCTGAATAGCCAGGATTACAGTTATGTACCACTCTACTTGGCTTTGTATAAGTCTCATAGAGGATTTTATAGAGAATACAGTACTATTCATCTGAATTTAACAACTCTTTTTGGATGCTACTTTTTCTGAATTTTAGTGAATATTTTTAAATACTTGACAGTAGTAAAGTATTTTTGAATCCAAATGTTACTTAAAAAAATAGTAAGTTTCAAAATTTAAAATTCCATGGAGAGTTGTAAAAGCCAAAAGGGCCGGGCGGTGGTGGCGCACGCCTTTAATTCCAGCACTCGGGTTGCAGAGGCAGGTGGATCTCTGTGGCCAGCCTGGTCTACACGAGCTAGTTCCGGGACAGGCACCAAAGCTACAGAGAAACCCTGTCTTGAAAAACCAAAAAAGGCCAAAAGGGCTGCCAATAAATGCCACATCCTAGCTAGATAAGGCAATTTAAAAGGGACAGCATGAGAGAGCCCCATAAACTCAAAAACCTATGCTACATACCTGCTCCTGTGTGGGTAAAATAGCCCCACATGGAAGGTACCAATGCTATTCATCTAACTGGTATCTTCCCACATGTACAGCAGCTTATTTTTCCTCCCTGTCACCTGTAATGCAAACCTAAAGCAAACTAAAGGCTTTGCATTCCTGGGCAATGAAATCCCCACATTTATTCTTAAGCTTTAAACAAACTTAACCCAAGCTGTAGCTGATCCAAATGAGAAGGTAAAGCACACTAACACCAACCATTAGATACTGCACTACTTTAAGAGAAACATGCTACAAACAAAGCTTTTTATAAGAACAGAAGCAGACTCGTCAACTAGAATATTAAGCCTTTAATTAAATAGTTTACTGCCTGGATAATACAGGAGATTTGTTTTTTAACAGATCCTTCAGCCTTAACAAGTTATTAAGCATTGAATACCTCAAGTAATTAGTGTACCTTTGTTTCTTTTATGACTGTGGGTTTTATCCTAAGAGGTATAAATATCCTTATGTGGGTTTATCCTTTGATATCTTATGAGCTAAATAAAAGGACCCAAAGCAGAGTTTAATTAAATTAAAATACATCAGCTGTTTAGATTTTTAAAACAAATACTAGTCATTTATCCTTATTCTCATCTTTAATGTGCTCTATAGCTACTTTCAAAATTATCTGAGAATTAGCCACCAATGAGGATTACTCTATCACTGTTCCCTTTGGATATTCAAGTCTGTACCTTTCCTCCTAAACCATGTAGATTTCATCATGCATTAGAATCATACCTTAAAGCAAAGAGGGACCATAAAAAAGATGGAAGACTTCCAACCTCTTCCGACCATTGAAAATTTTGACTTTAGATTCTCAAAAAAAAAAAACCCACCACCACCAACAAAACCCAAAACCAAAAAAAAAAAAAAAAAAAAACAACAACAAAAAAAAAAACAAAAACAAAAAAACCCTGAAGAACCTAACCTAACAGTCAGTAAAGAAAGAAACTAAAAAGGAAACCTTCAGCAGTGTCATGGGACTCTGACATAAGGCATCCTGGTCAAGTCTGTCCTTAACACATACTAGCGCCTTCTTCCAACTGACTACCAAGTGGCCTAAGAGGAAAGGAAGGCCACTTGGAAATCCTATTCTAGGGGCTGAGCCACAAACCTGAGGACCCCATATGATCCCCAGTACCCACATATGAGCAGGGTGAGAGTGATAGCAGCTTGCAATCTCAGTGTAAAGAAGACAGAGGCAGAAGATCACCAGAGCAAGCTGGCTAGCTAGAGGAGCTTAACTGGCAAGCTCTGGGTTCAAGTGAGAAACCTTGACTCAATATATAAGGTGGGGAGGCAGGGAGGAAGACAATAGATGTTAACTCCCCACCCCCACATGCATGTACTCCAGGAATACACACAAAATAAACCCCATTTCATGAAAAGACACAACATACAGCTGCTAATTTGAAGTGTGAACCTATTTTAAAGGTGAAATACCAGAGAGAAACTTTGGCTCAGGAAATCTCTGTGAGATAAAGCAGAAGCTGAACTTTCTGTAAGTATGTGCACTAAAACTTCACAAGATTTTGGTAAGAGAGGCTAATTCTGTCTTTATCTAATAGTCTGAATTATCAAAAACAAAACACCAAAGGAAATGGCATTATAAACTTCAAAATACACAAATATTCACTCTGCATTACACAAGCGGAATCCAGCATGAGCAGCAACAGCTGAGCTGTGCAGAGACAATGCAATGTTGAATTCCCATTTTCTTTTACTTCAATAGCACCATTAAAAGAAAAGAAACTTTCTGCACCTTAACTAACAAAAAGTACTGTACTGACCCTCTTCCTTACAAAAGGCTCTGTAGCAAAGGGTCATTACTTTTTCCTTAAGGAACTGAGAAGTAGGGTGTCTTACTTATTTTGGAATATAAACGCTAGTAAGTATTTTTGCCTCAACGAAAGAGTCCAAGATTATTTTCTTACAGGAACTCACATTACTGGCCTCCAAAAACCTTTCAGTTGGCATCTGTGGTAAAAATATAAACCTTTAAAATATGGTCTCAGACTAGCACAAATCTTGAAGTCTGGACCTTCCCATGTTAATGTCGTCAGCAGAAACTTTTTCTTTGTAACTTGATTCCCCTTGCAAATGGCCCTCATATATTTTCTGAAGAATTTGACTTCCACAGTTTTAATAGTTCTCTTTAACCCTTGCCAACCCTGGCTCCCATATCTTTCCTTTAATCTGTGGCTCCACACTGACATGGCTGTCTACATGAACAACAGGTGTATAAACAGTTCTTTGTCTGTACCCAGAGCCTGTGGGCCAGACAGATAGGACTATTTTAATTGTTCATCTCGTTAACATACAGCTGACTGGCTGCTACTATTGGGGGAGTAACAGAGAAGGAAAATCCCTAGCCCTGCTATGCTCTAAACTGCAATTCTTAGAAGAACCTCACTTTAGAATAAAGGGTGCAACTCACTAAATGACTTAGTTTTACACACCGAACCTTCACAATCTGTGTACTTTGTAGAATTACCAACAAGCAACTTCTTTTCATTTAATCTGTACTCACAACAGAAAAAAGTTAAACCTAATTAATTGATGAATTAAAGAACAGACTTTAAATTTCTTAGAATGAAGTCTTCTGATTCCATTCTAATAACTTGTTCATTTGTACTATTTGCTGAATATTATTGCTTTTCCCTTGACCATTATTAATATGGACTAATTAAATGATCTTTAAACACTGTCTAAAAATATTGTTAGCCTAACCCATTTGATGTCTCTTTAATCCTTATATTTCCTTAAGTGCATAAACACTATTATTTTCAAGTATTTTTAAATTTAAAAACACTGAACTGAAAACAAAAAAATTCAGAAGTTTCTATTTAGGGAAAAAATAGATTAAAACAGTAGAAATAAGTATAATTCTTTTATTCAGTTGAAATCTAGACACATAATTTTCTATAGTATGGAAACCCATACTAGAATTAACTCCTGCCTCCAAAGACAGTAAGAGTATTTAAAGTTAGAAGGGCTGGGAAGATTGCTCTGGCCTTGCAAATTTGAGGACCTGAGGTTAGATTCCCAAAACCCACATAGGAAGCTGGTTGTGGCAGGACATACATACAATCCTACTGCTAGGAGGCATAGACAGGAGGATCCCTGGAGTTTGCTGGCTAGGTAGCCTGGCCTATATAGTGAAGTTCTATGCCAAGGGGAGACCTGTCTCAAACAAAAGGTGGTTGTTGATTAAGAAAGTCAGGTATGGTGGCACACACCTTTAATCCCAGCATTTGGGAGGCTATTTAAAGATAGATGGATCTCCCTGAGTTTGAGACCAGCCTGGTCTACAGAGCAAGTTCCAGGTCAGGCTCCAAAGCTGCAGAGAATCCCTGTCTCAAAAACAACCAAAACCAAAACAATAAAAACACCAACACCAAAACAACAACAAAATAAACAAAAACAACTTACCAACTAAATAAAAGATACCCAAGGTTGTTGTCTAGGTTGTATTTGATTTATATATACATGAATGTGCAAACATGTGTGGCCAATTTGTCCCATACAAAGATTTCAAGTTTATTTTAGTTAAGTAACAAAAGGCTAAGAAAACTCTGAATAAAATGTTATTCTATTTCTTTAACACCAAAACCCTCAAGCATTACCAAAAAATAATTTTAAAAAGTCTGCATTAGATTTCCATAAATCTTCTAACAATGAAAGTAAGAGATACATAGAGAGAATTTCATTTCATACCATCAAGACCTTTTAAGAAATTTTAAAAATGTTTATTATTACTGTACAACACAGTACACGGGCAGAGGTCAGAGGATAACATTGCGAAATAATTTCTCTCCTTTCATTTCTATGTGGGCTCACAGAATTGAACCGAAGTCTTCAGGCTTGCATCGTCTGATGGAAGCACCTTGCTAATTTCAGTAACTTTTTTAGGATTGGCATCAAGCTTCCCTGGTAAACAAACAATTTCAAACTCCCTTGGCATGGTCTGCAGTTGAAATCATTGTCTGACATTTTGTGAAAGGCATAGGCACTGGCAAGATGTTACCTGTTTGGGCAACAGATATGTTTGTCTTCATCCCCCCCCCCTGCCTCTGCCCCTTTCCTCACCACCACCAGGGTTTCTCTATGTAGCCTTAGCTGTCCTAG